TGATAAGCTGTACTTAATGCCGAAAGCTTTCTCTGCCACTTATCTATTTAAGTAGGTAGGTGATTCGGACCACAGTTCACGTGAATTGGCCCTATTCACGTGAATTGGCCCTAGGATAGCCTTTCAGTCAAACGTTACTAAACTCTCTTAGAGGCTTAGAGAGAGGTGTAACAACCAAACAGATGATAAATTAATATTACTAACATGTTTGTAACCTGCATTCTAGAGCACGATAGATAAGTGATTTTGCTAGAATCGGAATGGTCATCCATCCATCAGCGACCGTGGTGTAGGTCGCTTCTATGGTGATAACCCTAAAGAGCTGCTACCACTGTATGGTTCGGAATTTTACTAAATAAAAAGGGTTAGAATACTATCTGCTCATGTGGATCGACTCCAGTATGTAAATAATGTTACAGGATTTAAAAAACGACCGCAATTAATGTTATCTTTCTTTTTGATAAAACTACGATTCACCTTCATCAAAAATGCAATTTTTCTTTAAATTTTAAATCGAAATATGGGTCAAAGATTATAATAATAGAATGTACACTTCAATCAAAGTCAGTGTCGAGCATTAGTGAGTCGTCGGAAACATTTAGCGAATGTTTTGGGCATAAATATTATATTATATTCTATTTATTTTCGGACTGTGTGTGTTGGATCGACGCCTATCCTAACATACAATATTGATGTGTCTATCAAAGTTTCATCTTGCTAATAGTTTCTGTCTGTCTTTATTTTAATTTTGCTGTTAGTCTCATTTGATTCTGTTTTTAGGTATTCTTGCTTTTTATATTCAGTGATTTGGCATTTCCTCTCGAGTTAGGCATAATCTTTATAAAAATGGCTGTGTTTTTTTTAAATATACTAATGTTTAAATAAAATGACCTTAATTTATGTTTCACCAATTACATTTGCGAAAAATAATGTCACTTCGACTTTCGTTGGACTTTAGAAAGTAAAATAAAAGTTGTTAATGATTTTATTACGGATGTTACTGTACCACCTCTAATTCTTTTTACGATGTGCATGTCAACAGCTCAACTGGAAGTTTGAATAAAAACATCATTTTGATCTTATGACCTGGTTATTTGTTCCAGTTACACTTTACTAATATCACTTTTTGTAACTCAGACATATATATTTATCTACTAACTCAAAAAAACATAAAAATATGACGCGAAGATTTGTTAAAATCGCCATAGTTCAATGTTGAACATAAAAACGTCATCAGTACCGAGGATACCATCTTGTCTGACTATTAAATAAATATCTTTACAACTCATTAATTGCCCTCCAAAAATATTATCCAGAAACTGGTAGACATGGCAAAGGTTGCCGTAAATACATCAACAAAATAAAATAATTCAATGTTAAAATACTTTTAATCGGGGTTTTTAAATGTTGCGCTGTCAATGCTGCCAACAATTTTTATGATGTCCACGGCGTACGGCATAAAACTTCTAAGTTTATATATCTAGCGTGACGTAATCAGGAGTACCAACATAAGGAACGGCTTAAAAATAGGCGCCGTGACGTTAACTGGCCACGGGAATTTAAACAATTCGGACGTATAAATTACATCGTCACATTATAATGTGATGCATAAAAATAAATTTATTATAGACGCCGGTCAAAGTTTTTGGATGTAGATAAATACTTGGATCAATTAGAGGCGTTAGGCTTTTGTAAATACCTACTACTGAATATCAATATATCTAGGGTGATTATACTGGTTTCAATAGAAAGCACATCACTAGAATAGGCAATAAACTTATGAATGATTAAGGCTACGAAGATTCTGATGATTTTTAATCGTAGTAGAACAAATCATTTTTATTTAGGCAATAAACTCATACTTATTTTGATTCTAACGAAATGGACGTTCTGAAATTTTTAATCTATCACTTGTTAAGTTCTGTGACTAAAACAAAATGCAATCGGATAGTATGAATTCTGCGGATCAAACTGAAACAAAATACAATCGAAAACAGTTTTGGCTCAAAAATACATTATGGACCACAATAAGCCTTTAAAATTCCTCTGATCACTCCTCACACAGACTTCAAAACGAAACTACACAAGACACAAAATCACAATCACACAGCAAATTCACACAAAAACCACATAACACACACACTGGCATGTTTATCCCAAAGTTGTGAGTAGTTGACAACTAAATGGCGTTCATGAGTGGGCTGTGGAACTCTATCGTCGGAGGTAGTGAGAAAGAGGTCACTTGGGAAGAGGTCTCAACCCTCTACTTTGACAACTTCAAAAAGTACTTCTCCGTATCAGAGGTCGATAAGGAAGCGTTCGCGATAGTGTTCAGTGAAGCCCACAAGATCGGATTCAATAAGAACAATTTTGGACTCGATTATACGCCGATAAATTTTGTGACGCTCTACCATATTGATACTAGGAAAGGTTGGTAGTATAGTATAGTTATTGTATATCCTATAGTTATAGATCCTAACGCTACAAACCACAACTGAAAATATCAGTGATTTGGCATTTCCTCTCGAGTTAGGCATAATCTTTATAAAAATGGCTGTGTTTTTTTTTTAATATACTAATGTTTAAATAAAATGACCTTAATTTATGTTTGACCAATTACATTTGCGAAAAATAATGTCACTTCGACTTTCATTGGACTTTGGAAAGTAAAATAAAAGTTGTTAATGATTTTATTACGGATGTTATTGTATCACCTCTAATTCTTTTTACGATGTGCATGTCAACAGCTCAACTGGAAATTTGAATAAAAACATCATTTTGATCTTAAGACCTGGTTATTAGTTCCAGTTACACTTTACTTTACTAATATAACTCAAAAAAACATATAAATATGACGCGAGGATTTGTTAAAATCGCCATAGTTCAATGTTCAACATAAAAACGTCATCAGCTGTACCGAGGATACCATCTTGTCTGACTATTAAATAAATATCTTTACAACTCATTAATTGCCCACCAAAAATATTATCCAGAAACTGGTAGACATGGCAAAGGTTGCCGTAAATACATCTACAAAATAAAATAATTCAATGTTAAAAAACTTTTAATCGGGGTTTTTAAATGTTGCGCTGTCAATGCTGCCAACAATTTTTATGATGTCCGCGGCGTACGGCATAAAACTTCTAAGTTTAAATATCTAGCGTGACGTAATCAGGAGTACCAACATAAGGAACGACTTAAAAATAGGCGCCGTGACGTTAACTGGCCACGGGAATTTAAACAATTCGGACGTATAAATTACATCGTCACATTATAATGTGACGCATAAAAATAAATTTATTATAAAGACGCCGGTCAAAGATTTAGAATGTAGATAAATACTTGGATCAATTAGAAGCGCTAGGCTTTTGTAAATACTGAACTGGATAACATTATAAATCTAGGGTTCAATAGAAAACACATCACTGGAATAGGCAATAAACTTATGTATGATTAAGGATAGAAACATTCTGATGATTTTTAATCGTAGTCGAACAAAAACATTTTTTATTTAGGCAATAAACTCATTTGATTGTAAGAAAATGAACATTCTGATAATTTTTAATCTATCACTTATCAAGGTCAGTAACTAAAACAAAATGCAATCGGATAATATGAATTCTGCGGGTCAAACTGGAACAAAATACAATCGAAAACAGTTTTGGCTAAAAATACATTATGGACAACAATAAGCCTTTAAAATTCCTCTGATCACTCCTCACACAGACTTCAAAACGAAACTACACAAGACACAAAATCACAATCACACAGCAAATTCACACAAAAACCACATAACACACACACTGGCATGTTTATCCCAAAGTTGTGAGTAGTTGACAACTAAATGGCGTTCATGAGTGGGCTATGGAACTCAATCGTCGGAGGCAGTGAGAAAGAGGTTACTTGGGAAGAGGTCTCAACCCTCTACTTTGACAACTTCAAAAAGTACTTCTCCGTATCAGAGGTCGATAAGGAAGCGTTCGCGATAGTGTTCAGTGAAGCCCACAAGATCGGATTCAATAAGAACAATTTTGGACTCGATTATACCCCGATAAATTTTGTGACGCTCTACCATATTGATACTAGGAAAGGTTGGTAGTATAGTATAGTTATTGTATATCCTATAGTTATAGATCCTAACGCTACAAACCACACTGAAGGTCTTGTCAAACAGCAGGCTTGAGCATGTGTACTGTCTCTTCGTTTGACGCTGCACTATGCCACCCTCATGGCTATACTATCGTGTAAAACGTAATTATTTTCTTACTCGTACTACAACTACGTTTGAATAAAGATTGAGTAGAAAAATTAGCAAATTAATCATCATCATCAGACAACCTCAGTCCACTGATGGACATAGGCCTCCCCCAATGCCACTGATCTTGAGCCTTAACTTTTTCTTCCTTTTTTATTTTATTCCAAAAACTAAATAGATTATAAGAAATCACGATAAAAATGAGGATTCTTTTTTCAGTAGAGGAATCTTATAATTTTACTAGCTTTCCGCCCGCGGCTTCGCCCGCGTGGAATTTTGTCTGTCACAGAAAAACTTTATCGCGCGCGTCCCTGTTTCAAAAACCGGGATAAAAACTATCCTATGTTCTTTCCCGGGACTCAAACTATCTCTATGCCAAATTTCATCAAAATCGGTTGCGAGGTTTAAGCGGGAAAGCGTAACAGACAGACAGACAGACAGACAGACAGACAGACAGACAGACAGACAGACAGACAGACAGAGTTACTTTCGCATTTATAATATTAGTTGGGATTAAAGTACATCATTTTATGCAGCAGTTTTTTGTATCCATCCATCAACAACTGAATAGATCCTAAGAAACCATATTCAGAAACCATGCATCAATGTTTACAGCATATTAACGGTTCATAAGAACAAAACTAAGTTTTTTTTGTTAGTCTTTTATTTTAATTTCACAATTCAATAGTCACACAAATAAAGGAATTTCGATTTTAACTAGATTAACACAAGGTCCTCTTTCCAGCTGAAGTCAAGATGCCCAGCGGTAACGTCGACAAGCCCGTCATCGAGGACAACAGGGACGGCACGGTCAGCATCAGATACGACCCCAGAGAGGAGGGCATCCACGAGCTCTACGTCAAATACAATGGGGAACACGTACAGGGTAAGTGATAATCGAACATCACTTAGTCAAGGACAAAGGAGGTATACGGAAAAAGACAGAAATAGCACATACATATTACAAGGAAATAAAAAGTAAACTGTCGCAATAGCGATGCCCATCGCAATGGGACTCCACTCAGCATATGCCCTGGCCCAAGGTGGGGAATGTCACGACACTGGTTTTTATTTTGGACTCTAACGCCCGTATTTAAAAACGATACTTGCTTAAGTGAAGCAGCAAATCGAACGCACATTGTTGAATGTGATTGGTTAGTGTGTAACTCTGTGCGTCTACGCGCACTGTGAGAATTCATATGAATATTTGTGAATACGGGCGTAATTTACTACACCAGTCCTTAGTTCAATCGCGAGGGTTACAAACAAGACTGGCCAGTGTCTTGGTGGCTATAGGTACTTGATTTTATGTAGCAAAACATGCCCTTGAAATCTTGGGTATCTTATAAAACATCTTTTCGGAGTTTGGTAAGTTTAAGCTTGCAGTGTTTTGCAACTCGGAACACATAGTTTGAATTTTCCTATCTGGTAATGAAACCCAGAACTTTTGACTGATTCATACTTTCTAACCACGGTGGCGACCGTTTTATGTGTTACACTACAAGTAATTATTCTGTCTCACAAAAATGTGCACGTGAATTTCTATCATCATCATCATCATCATCATTTCAGCCATAGGACGTCCACTGCTGAATATAGGCCTCCCCCAATGATTTCCATGTTGATCGATTGGTAGCGGACTGCGTCTAGCGCCTTTCTGCTATCTTTATGATGTCGTCGGCCACCTTGTGAGTGGACGTCTGTCTCACGCTGCGTTTTCCGCCTCCTCCGGAGGATCCGCGTGAATTTCTAACAGTGTTTAATTATTCCAATTTTATTTTTAACAGGGTCTCCCTACAAGTTCACCGTGGACTCCATTGCCTCCGGCTACGTGACCGCCTACGGGCCCGGCCTCATCAGCGGCGTCAGCGGAGAGCCTAGCCTGTTCACCATCAGCACCAAGGGTGCCGGCGCTGGTGGGCTGTCTATGGCTGTGGAGGGACCTAGCAAGGCTGAGGTTAGTAAAGATTGTTCACTCTTCTTCTTAGGCTAAAGACTCTGGAGATTAAGTTAGTAGACAGCTAGACCATTTCATCAATGGCGTCAAGATGGAGGGTTCTCCATGGCTGTCTAGAGATCTAGCAACGCTGACGTCAGCAGGGGCTAGATAAAAATCTCTGTATTTGAAATCAGTGAAATGCGAGAACTCCCTTTTAGTTCTTAGAAATATTGTAAACTTTCCATGAGACAAGCAAATCGGAGGTTAGAGATAGGAGATTTTATTGTCAACTCTATCACCCCGACCTTTGTGAGGGATTTGAAGACAGCAGCGAACTGAATATTTTGTATATCATGTGAATTTGGTGGGCAGTCCATGGTTTTGTACTAAAAGTATAACAGGCTTAGATGTAGCGATAAATGTTATAGAAAGAAAGCATAATTGTTTCATACTCGTATCAAATTGCAGATCACCTGCCACGACAACAAGGACGGAACCGTCGCCGTGTCGTACCTGCCCACAGCGCCTGGGGAGTACAAAGTCTCCATTCGTTTTGGGGACAAACACATCAAAGGATCACCTTTCATCGCCAAGGTAAAAATATAAGTAAAATCCTAAATTAACTCAAAGTAGAAGTTCTTTATAAAACACTTCAGGAGAGCAGTAGCTTTGTTTAAGAACTATTTTGAAGGTAAACTCGTAGTTAGAAAAATTTGCTCTGCTACTTCTTCTTCTTCCTTGCCTTAGTCTCTTACGCGGCTTAGCTCAGCTCAGTTCAGCTTTCCCAATCATATGCCGCCATTTAATTCTATTTTATACGTTTTGTTTTAGTCCCAATACCTTCATGTCCTTTCGGACACTCATCATCAACAATTTGATATTTTTAAAATATTTTGTCGTGTCGCGGGAAGAGCCTGGATGCGGGCAGCGCAGGACCGTGCATTGTGGAAAGCTTTGGAGGAGGCCTTTGTCCAGCAGTGGACGTCTTTTTGGCTTAATCTTAAGTCTTTTCTTTGGCTGAAACGAACGAACGAACGAAAATATTTTGTAACTATTTTAGACTGTTCTAACCAACATAACATGTCCTCCTCACTCTTGTCATTAGGACCTTATTTTCCTCTTTAAACTTCTCATTCAACGTGCTATTCTTCTTCCAGGTCACTGGTGAGGGTCGCAAGAGGAACCAGATCTCGGTGGGCAGCTGCAGCGAGGTCACCCTCCCGGGGAAGGTCAGCGACAATGACATCCGCAGCCTCAACGCTACTATTCAGGTATTAATTACTATTATTGTATAAATCTAGGTTATGTTTAGATAAGATCCACCTTAATCTACGGCGAAGGACTATAAAACTGATGGTACAGAATATGCTAAAGCTAATACTATTAAAACTGAGTTTCTTGGGCTGCTTCTCAGCACTGGCCCATTTTTGTCTCGAAGCAGTAGTAGGGTTAAATACTAGGACGTGTAAAAGTGCTTTTTAAAAGCCTACTTGCAGAATAAAATAAGTTTTATGAGATTTTTTTATTTCACCCAAACCTTTTTATCCACACCATTCCAGGCGCCATCAGGCCTGGAAGAACCCTGTTTCCTCAAGCGCTTACCTTCTGGCAACATCGGCATCAGCTTCACTCCTCGCGAGGCTGGCCAGCACGTGGTATCTGTCAAGAAGATGGGTGTGCACATCCAGAACTCTCCCTTTACTATTACTGTCGAGACGCAGGAGGTCGGAGATGCTAAGAAAGTTCAGGTGAGTGAGATGGACTATATTAGGCAATTAACATTTTGTTACATAAAGCTAGGAATGCTCGTAGCCTTTCAAGTACCAGCGAATCGAGACATAATCGAAATCAATGAGGGCTATCGTTTTTATACTTAAGAGTTGGCACCCCTGGCGATTGACAGGACCTTACTCTACAGTGGCGCCATCTTGATGAGTGCAAATGCGATAGTCCTCCTACCACTTTCGCGCGCTCACCAGTTGGTGCCTCTGTCTTCGCTACTAGCAAGTGACAGGACCTTACTCTACAGTGGCGCTAACTGGTGAGCGCTAAAACGATAGCCCTCATTGTTACCGCGGTCTCCACGAGTTAAGATGTACGAGTCGACGTGTCATCATCACCAGAAAAAACATTGTTTACCAATTCTTTACTGAACATATAATTCCAACGTAGAACGCCATAGCGAGCGTCTACCAAAAGTCTGCCACATAAATTAGGTTTACTGTGAGAAAAGATGTCCGAGAAATGGATTATATTAGATTTTATTTTTTTGTATTTGTACTATTTTGCACCGCCTACTTAAATTCTCTGTTTTGTTTAATTTTCTGGTTAGCTGGAAGAGAATGCCACATGGCATTAAGCTCGCCTGTTGTACCACTGTATTTTTATGTGTGCAATAAAGATTTTAAATAAATAAATAAAAATTATAGGCTTTAAAAACTTTAGAAGAACATTGCGTCTGATATCAGCATAGGTTGCAGTTCACAGATAACGAAAGTTACTGTTTTTACAGGTTTCTGGCACAGCCCTGAAGGAAGGCAAGACACACAGCGAGAACACCTTCTCAGTTGACACCAGGAACGCTGGTTATGGTGGTCTTTCCCTCTCCATTGAAGGCAAGTGTCTATAACTTCTACATTATTCACGTTTAGCCGGTAATTTGGATGGTTGACAATCAGATCAGATCGATCGGACCGAAATTTTCCTATGTTCTTCTGATAAATGTTGCGGGTCCAATGACAGCTTAGCTTTCCCCCGGGACAAACTTGGCCTTTTATAGGCGGTCAAGCTGATAGATCCTGGTTACACAGGAGTTGCAGTGGTGGTAACGAGAGGTGGGAACAGATAGATAGGATTGGCAAAAAGATGACGCTACAGAACTGCTATGCCATGCTGGAAACTACCTCAGAACAGAAGCTTGCTAAGTCCTGTGACATTTATCTTATGTTTACGAAAGGTTTTATCTTTCTGTTCCAATTTGTTTTTATATTCACAAAAGGTTTACGGTAATCCTTAGGAACTGGACATGATTTACATTATTTTTTGTTTTAAGCTGGTGTTTCTTAGGATTTTGACTTCATTTATGACTTCTTCCACCAGGTCCCAGCAAGGCCGAGATCCAGTGCGCGGACAGCAAGGACGGCGTGCTGTCCATCAGCTATAAACCCACTGAGCCTGGCTACTACATCGTTAACCTGAAGTTCGCCGACCACCACGTGGAAGGCTCACCATTCACTGTTAAGGTAAGAAGACAGATTTGACTTTCACGGGTTGGCGGTCAAGTTGTAGATCCTGGCTACACAGGAGTTCCAGCGATGGGAACGAGAAATGGGAACAGTCCAGTTGATAAGGTAATAGAGAGTATTGTCTTCTGGCCGTGGCTGCGTGATCGCCACTCGAGAACTTTTCTCCCCAACAGCTATCAGCTCCACGAGCTATATGACCTGTTCACTGCCATCTGAATTTAACAATTCTGCGGGCATTACCAATAGCAATTCAAAAGACAGTATTTGGGAGAATTTACTATGAGAAGGGACGCTCTCTGCTATAAGCCCTGGCTACTACATCTTCAACCCGTCTGCTCTTATGATTGTTTCTTGTGTGATCTCCTTTGCCTCCTGTCACATCTTTAACCGCCTCTGTGGTCTAGTGGTAAGATCACGTGCTTCAGACGCAGAGGTCCCAGGTTCGATTCCTAGTGGGGGCAGATTTTTCTGTTCGGTTTGGTTGATGGTAGGGCTTGCTCTAAGTCTGTTGCCATAACAACAATGTTAACAGCATTGTTGTGTTCCGGCAGTTAGAGGTAAGATAGCCAGTTCCTCCGTGGTTGAGGATTCCAGGTGAAGCTCGCTTCCACCTTCGGCCTGATCATCACTTACCTTCATGTGAGAAAAATACAAAAAATATTAGTTAATTTTCAAATTCAATTAGTGATAAGTCTCCTTAACTTTCTCAATAATTACGCGTTGCGTGTCTTTAAAAGCTGTTATATTGTTAATGAAATAAATTGACCTTCAGAACTAACACGCGTTTTAATCTGCCTGTTTATTTTAATTAACGCGTGCGTTAATGATTACAAAATTTATAATATTGATGATAAGTATAAGAAACGTGTTTCGATTTAATTCAATTCAATTAAGTTCTGTAATCAGTTAACTGGTTGTTGAATCCGCTACTCCTTCGATACTGAACAAACAAAGTTTTTGTATCGTTCGTTTCACCCAAATGACGTCACTGCTGAACAAAGGCCTCCCCCATGGTTTTCCATAATGAACGGTCCTGCGCTGCCCGCATCCAGGCTCTTCCCGCGACCTTTACCAGATTGTCGGTCCACGTAGTAGGAGGCCTGCCCACGCTACGCACGCCAAAGTTTTTGTATCACACTATAGTTAGTTAGTTTCAGCCAAATAACGTCCACTGCTGGACAAAGGCCTCCCCTAAGGTTTTCCACAATGAACGGTCCTGCGCTGCCCGTATCCAGGCTCTTCCCGCGACCTTTACCAGATCACACTATAGATCTAGCGCTAATCAGTCAGTGCTTGAGCTATGTGAGATGTGTGATTATGACACATTATGACGTGACAGTGCATACAAATCTGAAGTTTCACTGACATTTGACGTCACAAAAAAACCCTCCTCATGCCGTTCTCATACCTTAGGCACTGACTGAGTTATGTGGGTTCCCAAACTTATTTAGTCTACTGCCCACTTTGAGAATACATTATTTTTTAGCGCCCCCCATTTTTGTAGTCATGAGTCGAGCTCAGTCGGTGTCTAAGAGTCCTCCTAGTAGATGACGCCTCCCAAGCCTCTACACAACGTCCCGATTTTTTTTCTGGGTCTCTTACCGCCCCCCTTTAAGCCTGCAGCGCCCACAAGGTGGCGTTATCGCCCACTTTGGGAAAGACTGTGTTAGATTTATAGTTATTTATTTATCACAGCATCTACTAGCTGTGCCCGCGACTTCGTAAGCGTGAAAATAGTTTGAATAATATTTCCCGTTTTTGCAACATCTTTCTTTACTGCTCCGCCCCTATTGGCTGTAGGGTGATTTTTATAGCCTAAAGCCTTCCTCAGTAAATAGGCTATCTAAAACAAAAATATTTTCAAATCGGACCAGTAGCTCCTGAGATTAACGCGTTCTATCTAGTAATAAACAAACAAACTCTTCAGCTTTATAATATTTTAGTATGATTGAAATTGCGGCCAATATTAGAGGTTTCTTTGAATTCCCCATTTAAAATGTCATCTTCTTAATAATACCTCGTCCTCAGGTCACGGGAGAGGGCAGCAACAGACAGAGAGAGAAGATCCAGAGGCAGCGCGACCCCGCGCCCTTGACGGAGGTCGGCACCAATTGCAAGCTCACCTTCAAGATGCCAGGTAATCTTGAAAATTGAGAAATATATAAATAGCTTGAGAAAATCGAACTGCTTTAGGCGGGAATCGAACCCACGGCTTTTCGTTTGCCGGCTGCTCTTCCATTTGAGCTACTTACACTGGCTATGAACCCGTAGAAATCAAGTGTGATACGCTGTTACGGCCAATGTTGAGAAATATGTAAGAGAAATTCGCTAGATCGTGAATACGATAGTGCCACACATTTGTATGACCAAGGGCTATAAATACGGTTAATATTTACGCCATCCTGATGAATACAAACCTAATTGTATTCACTAGGATGGCGCCACTGTAGAGTAAGGTCCTGTGATTCGTCAGTGGTGCCACTTTTTAAAATGATAGTACCTCATTTAGTTACCTCATATAATCATTTCTATTATTTAATTAATTAATTACTAACTAACATAGTTTTAAGCTTACATTGTTAATAACTCTATAAAAGTATTATTTTTTTTTAGTTGGCTAAAAAAAGACATTATAGATTGTCTTTACATTACAAAATTTAAAGGAGAGCCGCGTTTTGAAAGCTCACAAAAGTCAATTGAACAGTGGTATCAACAAGCTTAATAATCTTCCATCTTCCCTCCAGGCATCACCTCCTTCGACCTGGCCGCGACGGTCACCAGCCCTGGAGGCGTGTCCGAAGACGCCGAGATCCAGGAGGTAGAAGACGGTCTCTACTCCGTCCACTTCGTGCCTAAGGAGCTGGGCGTCCACACCGTCTCCGTCAAGTATAGGGAGATCCATATCCCTGGTGAGTTTGAAAGGTTAAGAAGAAACACCCGTTTGGCTATCGTGGGGAGTGCCAAATCCTCCATTTGCCTCTGGTACATTAGAGTCGTGCTCCTGCAGAGACTAAGGACCTGATGATGATGATGATGATGACCCATACACGTGTTGGTAACAAAATGTTCATTGACTAAGAGCCTAAGACAAGGAAACCATTAATCTAACTAAGGTCATCTACCGCAAATGTCACCATAGTTACTGTCAGCTAACCTCTTGAGGTCGTCAGTCCATCGAATCAAGACAATTTATTCCACACCAAACAAGTAAGACATAATAATGGTTCAGTTAAAGCGGTTGTCGACCAGTAATAGAGTCGTATTCAAGTACTTGTTTAACCGGGTGCTTTTCAAACGTCATAAATAATGTAAGTAATTACCGATTTTCGCAGCAAGAATCATTCCTTGATAGAGCTGATGCTCTTTTTTTTTGGGGTCAGTTTGTTAAAACCACTACGGGAATCCTTGGCCTGCATCTTATTCAATGGAAAGTGATCATCAGACCGATGGAAGAGCGGAGATTTACTTGGAATCCTTAACCACAGAGAAACTGGCCATCTAGCTCCAACTACAGAAGCTCATCTCATCAAAATCTCATTTTCTTCCCCCAGGATCTCCCTTCCAGTTCACCGTGGGTCCTCTCAGGGACTCCGGGGCTCACTTAGTCAAAGCTGGCGGTAGCGGCCTCGAGAGAGGCGAAGCCGGGCGCTTCAACGAGTTCAACGTATGGACTCGCGAGGCTGGAGCTGGCCAGCTCGCCATCTCCCTTGAAGGGCCCAGCAAGGCTGAAATTGACTTTAAGGACAGGAAGGACGGTTCCTGCGACGTGTCGTACAAGGTTGATGAGCCTGGTAAGTTGTTATTATTATTATTCTTGCTAACATAGCTATAAGAGCCATGGTGTTCACCCTCTAGCTAAACTATACTATATATAGGGGTTCCTTGAAGGGCCCATAGGCTAAGATTGACTTCAAAGACAGGAAGAATGGCTCCTGCGACGTATCGTAGAAGGTTGAAATGACGACCCTGGTAAGTTCTTTTTTATTCCCTCCAGTTAAACTTTTATTCTTATGAGGTGGATTAAGAGGACGTTCATAGTTTAAAAATAAACAGGTTGAAAAACATCTTGGGTGTATTTTACATCGAAATAAGTTATTTACGAGTGCGTTTTACATTTTAACAAAAAATTAAAGCACATAGTCGTGGTGACACACGGCTCCCTTTTATCGGAGGCTCAGCCATAATCAACAATTCAAATCCGCCCCCGCCGGGCCCGTGCGGACACCTAAAAAACATTATAAATACTGAAATGCACGTCATAAATAAACTTAACTTGTTCCTTATTCGAATGTCGACCACGCCCATCCAAACACCGGCCAATGGCGGACCGCTGGCCGCGAGCGCGGCAAAATTTACCGCGAACCATTTTGACAGTTCGATTTTTTAAATTTCTTTCTTGATTTTTTTTTCTTTTTACGCTGACCACGGAGACGTGTGTTCCTTTTTTACGCAATGGATGTCGCGATTTTAGCGGCCAGTGATTACTCGGATTTACGATACGCATTTTTGCTAATGAAAGTCATAATTCGCGAGGATTCCACGGTTTTTGCCGTTTTGTGTTAATTAGGGAAGTTTATTGATACATCGTTTTTGTATAGGGGTTTTCTTGCAGCAAGTAATATTTTTTACAGTATCGATAATCGTGACTTATTGAAAAACCCTTACATACTCGGAACAGCATTAATTACCCTGACCTTTGTTAGCTTCATGATTATATTTATTGTTGATTTTTTTAATGAGGACTGAATGAGCTATGTCTCATAATTATAATTATTATTAGACTCCAACATAGTGTAGGTAGGTACTAATTTTTTTCCCGTTTTTGCAAGTATCACTTATTGTTTTCAACAGTGTTGATTAATTTGTTTTTTTTTTTTATAAAAACTTAAAAGTAAGAGCTTTCTATAGGATGGAATTTGATGAATTGCTGAAAAACGTAAAACAAAACAAATCAAATCTTCTTTTGGTCTTAAAAAATAAAGCGAGCGGTTGCTTTGTCGGTCTGTGGCTAAAGCGTTCGAATTTTAAACAGTTTTTAAAAGTTGCGTAGTAGACAAAAAAAAGAAAATGAGCAAAGTTGACGAATAACGGTTAAGAAGCGAGTTGACACGTTCAAGTGAAGTTCAAATGAATAATGTAAAATGAAGACATGCTATTAGATGTAGACTTCTTAATAAAGAGAGTTGGAAGAATTAAAATTAATGTATAAATAAACATTATTATTATCCTTTGCATAGCATTTTCTAAGCATTTCCTCAAATAACCAATTAAGTGGAAAATACAAATCATCATTTTTTACTCTAATTTCCAACTTGAGAGTTGAACCGAGGACTCTCCAATGTATTTTTTCTGGGACGATTTTTTTGATGGTATAAAATTGCAGTAAATATTACGATTTATTAAATCTACTAAAAATAATGATTGTTTTTCGAATAATTACGTAAAGTCGCTCTGTGATCAATCCAATCACCAAACGAAACCAAAAAAATCTGCCGCATTTTCAAAACAAAATTATGTCAATACAAAATGAGACGCACAGTGGTCAATCGCCCGCGAATACCTGCTCCAAAATAACTGTCGCCTCAAAAATTTCAAATTAAAAACTGCAAAACTTAAGTCATTATTATTTGGGATAGAAAATTCTAATCGGGATACACTTATGAAGTCCCAGCGCAAAAAGGGTGCGGTTCTTTGTCGGATGCTCTGACATTTTTTTGTACTGACGAATACAATGGGACTGCGGACAAATTTAGTCCAAGCTCGCATTCCGGGCTGCTGGTGTTTAAGAATCATTTTAATTGACCGCTGGACCGAGGGGCGTTGTGAAAAAACTTGATAAGTGTAAGTAAAGTTTGTGGTGAGATGGTTCCTTCGAGTTTTATTAACAAAAGTGTTCGTTTGGTTCAAGTACATCCTGAAGTTATTAATATTAAAAATGTAAGATATCTTACTATGTCAGCCTATCGACATGCGCGGGAATCTTATCATTTTATTGAATTGCTTCTGTTCATCGATTACCATAGATAGATGGTAAAATTATGTCTGTGGATTTATGGTTTAATGAATGAACCGTTTATTAACTACAAGTCATCAAATTAGTGGATATTCCCTCGAATACTATTTTTGCAGGATCCCATTTAGTAGTACCTTACGTGTTTTAATATTCATATTCACGTTCACGCGAACATTCCGTTTGCAGTGTCCCGCAAAAAACTAATCCATTCGAATTTGTAATTTGAATTACAAACACACATAAATGTGTGTTCACATGAAAGTCCAGTTTTACGGGATCCAGTAATGCAGGATCTTCTTCTGAATCTTTGTAATTTAGCTTTGAAGATTTGAATTTGAAGTTTTCCTAGCGCTTTATCCTCATTCTAAAGACTACGGAGCCCTAAAAATCCAAAGATCGGGAACAGACTACGCGCTATGACGGAATGCCACTTTTAGACGGGTTTTTTGGCCAGCGGGCTCCTTTCGCTCCACTGGGCAGTGATAGTATTTCGAAGATGTGTGTTTTAGGTATACCTAAGTTGATGCTAAGTTTTTATTCGGTTACTTACTGCATTCCTGGCTCCTTAGTTTTGAAACTGCGTTGCAGTTTTTTTTTTCGTATTTTTTTGTGTTTTTTTACAGCGAATATACAGGTCAAACTAATTATATTGTTTGCGTGTTTTTTTGCTATTAATCGTATTATAGTAGGTCATCATACCTAATTGTAGCAGATTGAAAAAAATGCAGGTTTTCAGTTAGTTAGTTATGTTTGTGTCTACGATTACTATTTAAGACCTACTTAATATCACAATCCCTAGCATTTTGTCATAAATATCATAGAAATTTTAGCATTAATACTATTCGTAACATAGAAATCATCGCCATGGAAACTTTCGTGAACCAAAAGGGAAAGTTTAAAATAGATCCTTTAATTTTAGCAATGTGTTTAACATTAAAACTTAAAACGCGTAACATAATTTGTAAAAGCGTTGCGTGATTATAATTGTGTTGACGAACATAATTTTAAACCAAGGATCATCGTTTTGGCATAATTTACTTCGTAATTTTCTGGTCGTAACTAATGTTTAAATGAATAAGCGAAATAAACATACACATCTGTCTAAACGTTCATAAATACCAATGTTTCCGGTAGACTAGTCGCTTGCTAATTAGAAAGAATTTAGCATAGCCCAGGGATGGCGAACTAATGGTACGATCCATCATAATTTAGGGCACGCCACCAATCACAAAATTCAGTTTATAAATAGTGCAAATGTGTTTTGTATAAAGATTCAACCACATAAACCGGCGCGTTCATAGGCCAATAATTGACGGGTCGCGCGAACTGTCATGGGTCGCGCGACTTGTCATTGGCTTATGATCGTATTTGCTCTCATCAGTTAGTGCCACTGGTAGAGTCCTGTTTCTCGCCAGTGGCGCCACTTGTACGACAAACTTATTATAATATGGCACGGGATTATTCCCACCTCTCGTTCCCACCCCTGTAACTCCTATGTAGCCAGGATCTACAGCTTGAACGCCATAAAAACCCAACCAGTGAAGGTCAAGTTTATTCCGGGGAAAAGTTAAACTGTCATAATAGGACCCGCAACGAAATTAATCAGAAGAACATATGAGGAGTTCGAAGTTAAGTTTCGACTTTCCTCCATTGCAAAGCGGATAACAGGTCATTATTAGCATTATTAGGTGTTATTTGATGGCACGTCTATGGCTACATCATTTTTTTAGAAAAGTGGCACGTTGATACAGAAAGGTTCGCCATCCCTGATAGCCAATATGGCATAACATTGGCTGTTAACAATAAATTACTCATCAACACTAACTAAAGTTGATTATAAAATGCAAATATTGGGGGTATTAGCAAATCAAATGATCCCAGTCCTGTTTAATTCCCACTTAGTGGCAGCTGCTGCGATTATTTAAATGTTAATGATACTTCAATTATGAACAATCGTTTTGAGGAATATTAATATAAATGAAGCGAAATGTGTGAGCTTTGGGGGTTGTAAACTTATGTAACTAATGTGAAAGTTTTTTGATTTTGTTGAAAATTTTAATTTTTAACATGGTGGTACATAATGTATTTATGTTTCTAATATTATGAGGCAGACCGCCTAATTTGTGCCTTCATTTTGGTATTTCTTTTATGTGGTACTGTATTTATTACCTACCTATTATTGTTACCATTGTTACTATGAATAAAGCTACATTACTAGGAGAGTTTAAAAAGAAACTAAATTTTTCAAACAAATAAGGATTATGTTTACTGCAATATGATATACCTAATATCTGCAACACATTACAAAGTGAAAACATTTTGAGAAGCTGAATCACTGTTTAGTTGATTTTTCTCATACTTATCCCAACTAATATTATAAATGCGAAAGTAACTCTGTCTGTCTGTCTGTTACGCTTTCCCGCTTAAACCTCGCAACCGATTTTGATGAAATTTGGCATAGAGATAGTTTGAGTCCCGGGAAAGAACATAGGATAGTTTTTATCCCGGTTTTTGAAACAGGGACGCGCGCGATTATGTTTTTCTGTGACAGACAAAATTCCACGCGGGCGAAGCCGCGGGCGGAAAGCTAGTTTATCCCATAAAGTAAAGTAGAACCCTTAAAGTATCACAAACAATTGTTATAAACGCAACAATGTAAGCACCCAAACTCTATCACTTCCGTAAGTTTTCCCTCTAAAACGTTCCCACAGGAATTCGAAAGTGATTGAGACATTTTTTCTCCCAAAACAGGTGTAACAGCCGATAATGACATAAATCCCTTCACCTGTTCCCGAAAATCCTTAAAACTGAAAGAGGAAGCGCGCCGGGCATCGAACCCGGGACATGTCAATACTACCACTTTGCATCAGACCTACATCATTATTTCGGCGCGGGCGGGTTACACCGGAGTTCTTAACCGAAGTTTACAGTAACTTAACTGTTGATATTATTCTTATGAGATCGGTCGAGGTAGGTAGGTAGGTAAAAATGAAAAACGTTAATTTGGTAATATTAGGTAGGTACCTAATACACTCGTCGTCAAATAAATCGCACCTCCCGCGACTAGCACTTTGAAACGTATGCTTCCCCACTTCCCACCAATATTGACACCATTTAAAAGCCTAGTTCTAAACTTCATTTCATTAAAGGAAAGGTTTTTACCCTAAAAATGTGTCTTTAAAAGGATCCAGAGTCACTTCTTCAAAAAATTGGTAGTTATGTTTGAGCCAACTTTTATGGCCATAAAACTGTTAAGTTGGGATTAATCGCTATCCATCTGTTAAAGAGGACACGTGTAATCATTATTTGGTTTTATAAATATAAAATTTGGTCCAATTGATCCCAGAGGTGAACCCAAAGTGAGGTCTTTTTTCAAGTCACATTTATGGAATATGTTAATCTTTTATTAAGAAATTAAATGTGTTTTTCTTTAAGGACATTTATTGGGCTTTCAAATAACACCAATATTGTCGGGGTACCATGATTGTGTCAGAAGAAAATCTTTAAAGTTCGCGTCGCGGAAGGTGCGGTTTATTTGATGTTGAGTGTATTACCAAATTAAAGTTTTTCATTTTTTTTTTAAATTTCCTACATTTAGTCGATTGAAGGACAATTATGAAAAATAGGAGAAGAATATTCATAAAAATTAGAACAAAAATAAAACTGAATCAAGAAATAATTGATACCTTGAAGAATAATGAGCCAACATTAAAGAAATTAAAATTAACTAACGTCAGCTTACTGCAAGGCCTCATCGAAACGTTATTTTTAAGAATTAATTGGTATTTTAGTAGAGGGCAACTTAGAACCTAGTGACTTCTAAACCACTGATTTTCATCAATAAAAATCATGCAAGCTACACTAGCTAGCAACCAAGGAACTATAGGTTTTATGTTAATTAACCCATGCTAACATTTAACATAATGTAACGGATTGTTAAACTAAACTCTTACACGGTGCAACCGGCCAAACTAATTTCTTAGCAAAACGAAACGCAAAGAAACATTCTAAAAACACGAGAAATATTTTTTTGCTCAATCCGCAAAAACTAACGAAAAAAGAAAAGTCGAATGTAAATAAATCTGTAGCTACAATATGCCCACCGCGACGATCCGCGCCCGTACGTATGGGAAGGTCAATGGGGAGTCGGAAGGATCTTTGAATGGTTCCGTACCTCTAGGAAATACATCTCTTATTAAGAAAGATTTGTATGGTCTTAAAACATAATGCCCGTTTTCACTATCACACATAACAAGACATTTATTTTCATAGGGGTCACTTAACAATCAGGGATTGATGGTGAAAACGGGCATTACATTTCAATTTTTTTCAGATACACAGGCATATTATTTTAGTACGCGTGCAAGGCCGCTAGTTATTTTATAAAGCCACGTTAATACTTATAAGTTTTAGGCAATCGTAAGCAATTAAACTTTTCCAAAATACATTGAGAACGAGAAGATGACAGAGTTAAGCTTGTGTTAAGATTATTTAGATTTGAGAAGATAGTGTAATTTAAAGACCAATAGTTAATTAGATCTATAAGTTTTTAAGTTTAAGTGGCAACTCATTGAATAGTTAGTCGGTGTTCTTTAAAACACTAATAATATTATCGTGACGCGATAGACATTGAAATTATTTTTATTAGATTTAGAAAAGGATCCTTCCTAAATAAACTGGTCCTTAGTTGAAATTCCCCAAAAAAGATACAAGTGTTTGAGGTTTGCAGTTTTCATTTCGTGGCGCAGACCCCTGCAACCCAAATGCGAAAATTTGAATTTGCAGCCAGACCTGGAAAGAAATATTGGAGGCATCGTTAGTCCGTTATTCAGATTGAGTGACATCCCTCCCCTTTGCGGGTTTTTTCTCAAAATTTAAATCGCGTTTTTGCCCACTTTCGTCGGGTTTTTAGCCCACTGTGCAAATTTATATTTGTCGGTCCTTCGTAGAGGAATTAGATTATTTATTTCCGGTGTGTTCTTAATTGGGCTGTTTAGTTTGTTTATCTTATTTTAGAATTCATTAGGTTCATGTGTTTCACTCGTATGATTTCTTATTGTTTACATATAATTTTTTGTTTGGTCTTCAACAATTGACGTGTAAGCCATCAACACCTTTTTACTGCGTGTTTGAATTATACCTATTAATTGCTTATTAGAGGTATTGTTTTAATTAACGGGCGGGTCTTTTTTCTGGTATATGTACTTACTCGATGAAAGCTGGCAGATATTTTTGATTTATTACGATAATTGACGTTTTCGTATTGCGTGATATTTAATATCACGCGGCTGATTTAAGATTGGAAATGTGGAAATGAAACTTTCTTCCTGCTTGTGTCTTTATTATACACATGACCTGTGCGCTACAATCGTTTTTTGAGAAGATTATGTCCGTATTTGACTTGAGTTACCAGATAAGTTAGAATAATTAGAGGTTTACTACTTTAATTTTGTGTTGAAACATGTTTTTTAAAACTGACATGCCTGTATTTTATATTGTCAGAAACTTGATTTCTTACTCTCCTGTATAACTTAAGATGCTTTAGAGCAGTGTTCCCGCAAACTTTTTGTGTTCAAGGTACATCTAGGAAAACTAAATTTTTTGGAGGTAAAACCTCCAAAAACCTCCGCATTGTTAGTTACTTACTAAAAATAAGTTTATAAGATAATCTTATTTTTTAGAGGCACACCATCTAATGACCACGCAACACCCAGTCAAGTGTGCCGCGGTACACCTTTTGCGGAACACTGCTTTAGATACTAGTCGTATACATTATTTGCAAAAAATTAAAATTAGCAGTAGTTTTTTGGCGCTCTGCATAAATAATCATTAATTTAATCTACATTTTTCGGACTACAAGTTTCATCATGAACATAGTCTCCCCAACCCGTCCACGCGTCTGGCCCGCTGGCCAGACGGGTTGACGGTTGACGCTCAAGCATTCCCTATCTAATAATCCTCAATTTGCATCGGAGAGAGGATAGTCCTCATCCATTTCTCTCGTTAGTGGAGACAATAACCTATGATGATGATGATGAACTAGCAGGCGCTGTGTGAAGTATCCCAGGATATTAATTTGACAATCTTTCTCCAGGTGAATACCGCATCGGCCTCAAATTCAACGAGCAGCACATCCCAGACTCTCCCTTCAAGGTGTACATCTCCCCAGCGGTGGGCGACGCGTACCTACTGGAGGTAGCCCAGTTCCCAGACTCGGCTCAGGTGGACAAGCCAGCCCAGTTCTACATCAGGTTCAACGGGGCTAAGGGAGAGCTGGACGCGAGGGTAAGTTTCTAATCTTCTTCTTCTTATTACTTACCATCAGGTGATCCGTCTGCTCGTTTGCCTCCTGTCACATAAAAAAATTTATGTTTACAAGATGGTGCCAGACTTAGTTTTCAAGAAGTTAGAGAGATGTCACTGACGTTGCGACACGCCGTGCCGCTGCGACGCCGCTGTGGCGACGCACCGCAACGTCAATGATCGTGTGGAATCTCTCTTAGTGTTTGACATGGATTAAGGGAAAAACGACTTAATGTGTCTCCAAAGCAAAGAATTTTTTTCGAAATTGGGAATCGAACCAATACATCCGTAATAATGTTCAGAAAGTAAAAACTTTCTTAGCACTGGATCGTTACTGCTAAGTCGAATGACTAGACTACATTTTGTTTCAAATAAAAATTAATTCGATAAAATTACGAGTAAATGGATCTTTCTCAAATTGTCTAATTCAAATTTTTGAAACGGTCACCCAATCTTTTCAATTCCCTAACTTTTATCTACATCATATAAATTCCAAAAATGCACGAAACCCGCCCCACAGTCCATTTAAGATTTATAAACTGACCACAATAAGTCTTCCAATAAACAGACCGTTTGATTTATCGTGTGAACATGACGCCGACTGTACGTGATTTATGATCGATGGGTCGGACTGTACGTAATATTTGATGTACGTGGGGTCGGAAATTTTGGGTATTTTTTTCCAGAATTTGTTGGGACGTGCACCAGTGGGTGTGAGATGAGAAATGTTTAGGAAGAAAATTCACGTTAGTTTTAGAGTTCAGAGATTTACGCTCGTATTCACAAACTTTACTATGAGGTCTCACAGTGCGCGTGGTCGCACAGGGTGACACACGAACCAATCACAGAGCTCTATTTAACGCTGTGCGTTCGATTTGCTGCTTTATTTAAGCAAGCATCGTTTGTGAATACTGGCATTAGTAACTACTTAAGTACTTTAGTTACATGATTTTTCGTGGTGGCCAGTATTATGTGCATTATAATTTAACATTTGCTACTAAATACTATGAATTGTCTATAAAAACTATAGTAATCCTGTTTATTTAAGTTATTTCTTCTTTATTAAGGTAGGTATGACATTTCAGTCTATTGAAGTTTATGCAGGTAATAGCAGTAAAACATTTAATGTGACTTTGATTATATTTATTCATTAAAATGGTCCCACATACCATGGAAAATAGACGAAACACGCACGGTCAAAGTTTTATAATTACTCATTTTATCTTAATCTTTTAACATAGTGTTCAAATTGGTAACATTTTTGAAGATGTTACCAATCTAAACACTATGTTTTCTCGCAAACTGTGGACGAAGTCGCGTGAACTAATAATGCCAAACTAGTGTTTCATTGCACAGTGGGCCGGGGCCGGCGGGCGCGGGCAAAAAACCCAATAAAACCGCGGCACGTGACCTGAGATAAATCTCGCCGCTAATATTTTATAAAAGCGATGAATACGGAACTTTGCGTGATATAAAAGATAATATGGCAGTTTCCCTTGAGGTTTACTTTTTGATTTGTTGTTTGTAGCATAACGAAGTAGTCTAATAAAAAGTATGCAAAGCTAGTATTCTTATTCTTATTACATATTTTATGATAGAAAATATATTTTTGAGCGATTTGGCCCCGTAGTTGAGAAATCTTTTGGACACGGTTTCTTTCTTGCACTAGAAGTACCCCAAAAAATATTTTTTTTGCTCAACCCAAAGGTAAACTGGTCGAGAATGCTTTAGTGCATTAAGTTCGCCTTATGTACAAACTTATTTTGGCATAAAAGTTTTAAATAAATAAATACCTACTTGAGGAAAAGTATGTATTATTTGGACCTTCTGTAACATTGCGAAGTGAATATGAAAATTACTTACGCCCATATTCACAAGCATTGCTACGAGGTCTCACAGTGTGCGTGGACGCACATGGTGACATACGAACCAATCACAGAGGTCTGTCCAACGCTGTAAGTTCGATTTCCTGCTTCACTTAAGCATGCATCGTTTGTGAATGGGCGTTATAATAAAAGGACTGAATCATATTATTTTCGTTGTAATATTTTACGAAAATAATCAGATTCTGTGCTTTGTAGAGCACGGAAACAACCGTCTAAGGTAGCTTTTAAAGCTTACAGTACTTAATCTTATACTCTACGTGACGATAGCGAAACGACCGTGCCCCATATTTTGACTAGGTGGAGAGTTTGTTTAGACTCCTAGAGTTAGGGCGTGTAGAGCTAGAAGCTTGAATCGATGGCTTTTAAATATGCGACTTCTTTTCTCGACTTGGCAATCAATTTGTTTTTGGTGGGATATACTTGGTTTATGGTTTTAACACCATTATTTTTACTCAAAATTGTGCAAATAAATATTTGAATTTGAATTCACTTTTAGTCTAGGCGCAGACCACCGACTTTTAGGTGGCCAATAGTGCGGCCCGATTTTAATTTGCATGAAGAATCGGTCGATACCAAATCGGTGCAATGTGCGCACTTCCATACATCTCCATACTGATTAACAGCCCGACTCAACTATCGACCAAATAGAAGTTGGTGGTCTGCGCCTAGGTTTACCAAACTTTTCAACTTCCTTCTTTCTCTCCAGGTGATCTCCCCTTCAGGCAAGACCGACGACTGCTTCATCCAGAACATCGACGGAGACCAGTACTCCATCAGGTTCATGCCGAGGGAGAACGGGGTCCACAATATCAACGTCAAGTTCAACGGGGTGCATATCCCCGCATCTCCTCTTAGGATCAAGGTACGTAAGATAGAAACATAGGTAGAAACTATTATGCCAGTTTTCACCATCCCTAATTTTTAAGTGATCCCTATGAACACATTAATGAATTTTGTTTTCATAGGGGTCACTTAAAATTAGGGATTGATGGTGAAAATGAGCATAAGATGTTTATTTTAGGGTATGTTTCGTCAAAGAAATTCTTTATTAAGTCTTTTATTAATATAATTTCAGTGGTCTTCTAATAATATTTATAAATTCGCAAACAAATAACTATTTATTAGATGCTAATCGATGTAGTCATATTGAAAAAATATTTATTTATAAATTGAGCCTATTTCGACAGCGATATCCTGTTTTTATAGTTCGTTCGTTTCAGCCAAATGACGTCCACTGCTGGACAAAGGCCTCCCCCAAGGTTTTCCACAATGAACGGTCCTGCGCTGCCCGCATCCAGGCTCTTCCCACGACCTTTACCAGATCGTCGTTTTTATAGTAATGACGGGAAATAAAATTCTCAAAATACAATTAAATTGGCGGCCAGTGTTCATTATTTGAGATTTTTATTTAACTAAATTAACTGTGCAGGTGGGAAAAGATGACGCCGATCCAGCGGCAGTCCACGCCCACGGCCCAGGGTTGGGCTCAGTGAAGACTGGTAAGCTATGTTGTTAATCAAATACTTCTTAATAACCAGACAAAAGCATCGTTATCGTTATGTTAGCTTTCTTCTCAGTATTTGCCAAAATGTTGGTCTCGAAGCGTTCTAAAGCAAAAATCAATAATATTTTATCACATTTGTTACAACGCTAAACATCTGGCAATTCTTCAACTATCCCGAGATTAATTTAATAAAGAAGAAATAGAAAAAAAAAAACGATTTCTGTAACTTTATAATGAAAAATGTAAATTACCTACCTACATTGAAAGTAAAAGAAGTCCACTGTCGACCTAATCTACAGAGATCCACGTGAAATCCTAAAGCTACAGAGGAACTTACCTTAAAACATATCTTTAACTGCCGAAACATATACTACGACTTAGTCTCAACATTTTTATTATGGCGACAGATTTAGGTCCGACGGGTGGTAACCATAGCAAAAAGCCTTACCATCGACCAAACCGAGCAGAGAATCGAACTACTGGGAATCGAACCCAGGATCTCTAGTATACTTTCCTTTCACTCACATACTCACCTACCTCTCACCTCCAGGAGTGAAGACGGACCTCATCATCGACACCTGCAACGCTGGCGCCGGCATCCTGGCCGTCACCATGGACGGACCCTCAAGGGTCGCCATGGACTGCACGGAGGTTGAAGAGGGCTACAAGGTAAAGTGTACCTACCCTATAGCGCGGGCCGGTTTTGGCGCATAATAAAATACAACATCTATATATATGTTACGGTTAATGTGATAAATTGAAAATTATTAATAATAACCGGTTATTATGAATAATTACCGACAGTCGCGGTAAAAGTGATAAATGAATCACATTTAACAATGATTATTTAATAATTCAAGCTTAGTACTAACAAATTTCATAAAAGAGAACAACATCTTGTGTACGTGCTCGTGTACAGCCAAACTTTTGAACGTTTTGATATCATATATTAATATAATTTGGCATAATGAGTTTGGAGTGTTTCTTGCATAATATTACTTTTCCATGATGCCTATAACATAATGTTTTGATTTAAAGTGAAAAATAGGTTAAGGTGCGGCGGGGGTGGCCCTTGGGGCCACCCCTAAGCCGCCTATTTAGTTTTATACACACATAAATATATAAAAGAAAGTCGTGTTAGTTACTCCACTTATAACTCAAGAACGGCTGAACCGATTTAGCTGAAAATTGTCAGGGAAGTAGTTTAGAGCCAGGAGAAGGACATAGGACTTTTTATCCCGTTATTTATTGCCACTAAGGCGGAACAAAGTTCGCCGGGTCAGCTAGTTTTTTATAAATTACAGGTTTTGTCCACGGATTACATTTTTGGAATTTTGACCTGTCGCAGAAAGACTGTCGCGTGCATTTCTCTCCTTAAAAAAATCCCGATAAAATGTATCCTACGTTTTTTCCTGGGTCTTATCATTGAGCTATAATGTGTAATATTACGGTCTTATGCCCGTTTTCACCATCAATCCCTAATTTTTAAGTGATCCCTACGGTAACGCATATCAGGAATTTTGTTTTCATAGGGATCACTTAAAAATTAGGGATTGATGGTAAAAACGGGCATTAAACTAACAAAATGCCAAATTTCATCCAAATTAGTTCAGTGGTTTTATCGTGAAAGAGTTACAAACATTAATACTTCCTCACCAACGTTCACATTTATAAGCTCTATAATTTTTCTTTTACACTTCACGTCTTGTCTCTCTCTTTACTTACTCTATGTATAAACCTGTAGTTTTACTTATGCAGTTTATTAATTCAAGGTATTGTTTTAGGTTCGATACACGCCTCTGGCCCCTGGCTTCTACTACTTGAGCATCAAGTACAGCGGAGCCCATATCGTTGGTTCTCCCTTCAAGATTGAGGCTACTGGTGAGTTTCTTTTATAGACTGTATAATTTAGCCCATGTAGGGCTAGTTACTTCAACAGTGAAATAGTTCGAGCTATTATTTTAAACGTGAGCTAATTATGTGAACTAGTGGAGGGAAGTAACTATCCTTACGTTTCAGTTAAAAGACATCCACTGCTGGACGAAGGAGGGAAGTCGAACCTTAACTTCGAACTCCTCCTATGTTCTTCTAATTAATTTATATGCTGGTCCAATGGCTGTTAACTTTCCCCCGGGACAAACTTGACCTTCACTAGTTGGGTTTTTATCGAGGTCAACCTGTAGATCCTGGCTACACAGGAGTTGCAGCGGTGGGAACAAGAGGTGGGAATAGTCCCGTTGTCCTAATGCTATTTAAAGACCTAAGTTCTTAATTACTACCAAGTTGATTAACAGGGAGACAACTTTTAACGTGCACAATTATGAAGCACAGGAATTAAGATGCCTTTAAAGGTTAGATTGGTCCACTCAAGATCATCACGTAGGATAAAATAATAACTAGGCCAGTTACGCAATTATAGCAAAATTGATAGTGTTTGTATTTCCAAAGGTGTGACCATTAAAAACTTCACACTTTTTGAGATATTATCGAATACAATGATAATTAATTGTTTCCTCTTATTATGCCAGAAAAAGCAGTAATAATTCTTCTTAAACACACCCGTGGAATGCAACAAAAACCAAATTCTATGCTTTTACGGCCGAATGGATACCGAAAAAAAGAAATACCACAAGACGTGACTCTTTTAATTGATACCAAAAACGTTAAATACATTTTCTGTTATAAACGGTGAAGTTCTTTTTCTCCAATCAGTTATTGGGAAAATCATCAAGAATTTTTTTGAGAAAAACCGTATTATTGAACGATGTTTCCCTCTAATAGAACACGTAGTTTATAAAGGGGGTCACTTAATAAACTAAACAAACGGTACAGTTGATGGATGAAGAAGAAAAATACCAAATTAGACATCAAATTATAGGTACTATACTTATTTCTGTTGTGTACTTGTTACGAGCTTGGTAATAAAGCCATAGTTTTTTAGTCACTTCCAGTGATTTGATTGTTGAATAGTTATGCAATTTGGATAGCAATTTTAATATTAACATTATAATAAACTCTATTAGGTATTATTTATTTAGCAGTCAATATTTAGATTTAGACTTCATAATCTAGTATTTTATTGTATCTACATAACATTAAAAAACTACTTTGAACATTTTGGGTGTGTTAAAAAACTGTTAGATTTAAAAACTACAAAAATCAAATATCAAAACACAGACGTATGTGTTGTTCGCATCGGCGTTACATCGGCAAAACACGCTTTACGTGTGAGCCCGCACGGCCGTATGGAGATATTATGAAAACGCGTAAAACGTGTGCGGCCGCACAGACGTTGCGATCGAAAAAACACACCCGTACTTAGGTATGTGTTTTCAGCAGTGATCGTGTAAAGTACTGGATTCTAGGTTTATTAGGTATTCAGAAGTAAGATGGAAGTCTTGAAACGATGTCATCATCATTATCTCAGTCAAAGGACGTCCACTGCTGAACATAGGCCTCCCCCAATGCTTTCCATCTTGCCTGGTTATCAGCGGCCTGCGTCCAACACCTGATTACCAGAACAGAGGCTTCTAATATACTTACATTATTAATGTATTTACTCCAGGTGGAAACCTCGCCGAAGTCGGTGCGCAGGAGACATCCTCAGTCACAGTGGAGACGGTCCAGAAGGTCTCCAAGTCCGGCCAGAAGCAGGGTCCCGTGCTGCCTCACTTCAAGTCCGACGCTTCCAAGGTCACCTCCAAGGGCATGGGGCTGAAGAAGGCGTATCTGAACAAGCACAACCAGTTCACGGTGCATTGTGGTGATGCAGGTATGTTCCTGTTTTATTTGTGTGATCTTTCACTTATCTTTCAGAAAAATAAAGAAAATCATCAGACAGAATGTTCGCTCGTTCGTTCGTTCGTTTCAGCCAAACGACATCCACTGCTGGACAAAGGCTTCCCCCAAGGTTTTCTCAATGACCGGTCTTGCGCTGCCCATCCAGGTTCTTCCCGCGACCATTACTAGATCGTCGGTCCACCTAGTAGGAGGCCTGCTCACGCTACGTACAGAAAACAGAACACTGACAGAATGTACAGAGGGAGAAGTAAAGTAGTAGAAATGAAACAAAATAGCTACCCTGCATGATGTCATGTTCTGGGGTAGAAGGATCCTGAATATGACATTGACATCTTTTTTTTATGACATTATGAGTGTCTCACTGACTCTTGGAACAAAGTATCACGTACTATCGACAACTCATCACACTACATTTTTAATGAAACATCGAATTCATTACAAGTATGTAGATGCTATCAACTTCTAGATTTATCTTGAGTTGATGTCATCGAATGTGAAAGATAAACTGGCATTGTAACATGTCTAGCCAGCTTTAGGAGTGTAGGCCAAATACTCCATTTGCCTCTGGTAAATTAGAAAAGCTGGTGCTACAGTAGAAACTAAATTACCTGCACTTCATTCTTTCGCTTTTTGCATTATTTAATACAACTGTTCTCTAGGTTGCCTAGAACAGAACCCATATTTCTTTTTATTCTTGTTTTGTGTGCTGCACAAGCGTTTAACTATCGGATTATGATATTTTAATACTAACCCTTCACAGGCAACAACATCCTCTACGTCGGCATCTACGGCCCTAAAGGCCCCTGCGACGAGGTCCAGCTCAAGCACAAAGGCAAGAACAACTACGAGTGCTGGTACGTCGTCAGGGACAGGGGAGACTACATCGTCATCGTCAAGTGGGGGGATGATCACATCCCCGGATCCCCCTACAAGGTTGAGGTTTAAGGCGTGAAGGGTTGAATTTGACACACTGGATGTGTTCTGCGTTCTTTACTTGTACTCGCACTGTCAGATCGCATCAACACAAAATGTATATAGGCTGTTGATTTCGATCCTCGCCATATTTAGGGAGTTGATTATGTAGCTTATTCTGATCACGAATCAGTAAAAAAAAATATTTCGAAAAAAATTTAAAACGAACTTTAACTTTTTTAGTCAAAGAAACATACCTATTTACACTACCTACTTTACGTGGTTTCCTTCAGTAGGCTATCCGACATGATAAGCAATCTGCGTAGCTCGATGGTGCCGCAGTGTAAACGTATTGCAGTATTGCGAGCCACCAGTAGGGTTGATGTCGCACGGAAAATATTCGCTAAAAATTCCACTTTCGTTTGTAATTTTTTTTTATGGATAATACGTTTATATGTCAATAGATCACCTAAATAATTATGGCGAGGATTGAAATCAACACTCTGTAGAGACCGTTGCTCATAATGCGGGCTGCGATCACTTTGTCCTGACCGCAGACCACATCCAGTGTACCAGATCCTTGATAGCGTATGTAGTGCTTAAATTTTGCTAGTCGAGTATTCTAGTCATTGGTTTATCAATCTGGTTTTTATAATCTATTTGTCCTTTTGGGTATTTAGTTCCTAATTATTTTTAACGTACCATTTCCAATTACTAAATTATATTTTTGATGAAATTGTTGGGATATATTTTTGGATTTTTTTGTGGTTATGGAGTATTTTGTCTACATACGCTGTCAGTAGCTTAAGTATCATTATTTTAACTTATTTAATCTCTATCAATCACAATTTAAGGCGATTTAAGGGTTCCGGGGAGGTTCTTCAACGTGTATGGTATCCGTTTAGAAATTGATCTCTCAATAAAAATAAATACAAGACTGAACCTGCCCGACATCCTTTTTGTTCTAGTGTTTTCTTCCTTTTGTAATTTATCTTTTAGTTAAAGCATTTGGGAGTTCTAACATGGGTTTTCGGAGACAAGTACCATTTTAAGACATTATATGATTCTCGTTTAGTTTATTAGGGCGACTAAATGACAATTCATATAAAGTATTAACTTAAATATTCCCTATTATTTTGTAAGCGCACGAATTGCGACTTATTTCGACATTTTCTTTGTCAGTAGGCGATTTTTCTTTTTTATTAGCATCTTCTACGTCTTTTTTGGGTAAAAGTAGTGTTAGAGGATCATCTTCTTCGCCTATTGCTTAAGGATTATTTGTAAAATCAAAAGTAGGATTTTGGGAATATGAGTCATATATTTTTTGCTTACTTTCATTAATTTTCTTCATTAGTATAGGTTTTCCCTTTTCCTAAAATCCTTCTTTTCCAGCTTAGACATGAAGTAAGTTGTAATTTGTGATATTTATATACGTAAGGTCATTTATGTATTCGCTTTCTAATTCTGTATGTTTTGTGCTGGATGAACTGTTTTACCTACGTAGGTAGAATGACCCCTATATTGTAAATATCTATTTTAAGTGGTTTATATAATGTATTTGCGACTGTTCACTAAATAAAAGAGGAAAGTTTATTACTTTTTTATTTCTTAATAACTTCAGCTCACGGCTTAAGAATTTTTCTTATATAAATTAATGTTTATATTTCAAAGGGTTTCAAAATAAAAAGACACATGTGATTCTTGGCATAGTTGTAATTTTAATTGATTTTAAGTAACAAAAAAAATGATTTCGTTTACTTCCATCTAATAATCTTAACCGAAAGGCTAGAAAAGCATAACTATCGTAAAACGTAATTACTTACAAAAATATGTATTTAATCATAATAAGTTTACACTTAACTAAAAAAAATCAAATTACAATATCACATTTCTACTTACAATAGAGAGATATTGGCTTATTTTTTTAAATCCGATGAATTTAAAAAACAATTTTGGGATATAACCGCTGTTATAATTCAAAACCTTTACATTACTCGCACCATTTCGTCTTTCTTTAACAACAATTCGGAAGAATTAAGTATTGCCGTAATTACCTTATTAACAAATAAACATTTGTACAAGAACTTAATTAGCGTTTGGGTTTGCGACACGATCCCTAAGGAACCCGATCGCAAAGAACCGCAACCTAACAATTTAAAATAAAATCGAAAAAGATTTGTAGCAAATCAATGCAGAAGAACAAAGTACGTTTCCTCCAAAAATATTATTCTCCTCATCCTTTCCTATCACATTTCGTTAAATTTTATCTACTACAGACACTTCCTAAACAAAATAATAACTTGTCGTATACTTCAAATTAGTCTAAAACAATCGTTGTAAATCAAATGAAAATGGGACATTAAGTACCTTTAGTTACAATCCAATCACTGTCAGCTACCTGGATAGTCTTACGGCTAGTGTAATTGAGCATAAGCATTATAGACTAAAAGTAAACAAAAAACGTCTCAATAATTTTAAGGTTCCTCAAAAAAGTATTCCTATTTACAAAATATTTACACAATGTGCACCTTTCGTCGTACCAAATGACAAAGACAAAGCGATTTGGCCACTTAATAATGTACAAATGGGAAATTAAATTAAAACATAGAAAATATGCTGAACCTTCAAAGATAAGAGTCAAATTTAACAGAAGGCAAACCACATTTTCTAGAAGAGACTTACTTTTTTAAGATAGATACGAAATAAAACTAAATAAATGAATCCATACGACCTAAGTAGGAACTGAGTGCAAATGTGATGATTCAAGAGATCGGTGTTTAGTAAAGGTATGTACTTATCAATAAAAATGCAACAGAATGAAACTTAGATCCAAGTGGTTTCAAGAATTCGTACTAGTAAATGTGATATTTCGACTATTACAAATATTTGTTTATCAGGAACTTTTAACATTAAAATTTCAACCGTATATCCTATATAACATTTGTTGGAAATAAATAACTGGATATTCTATAGATTTTAAAGCAGTCTCACGTAAAATCTGATGTGCATGTAAATCTAAGAGCTTTCTGACACCAGATGTATCAAGACCTCGAATCAATTCCTTGAAACAACTGGTTAAAATTATTAATTTTCGAGATCCATCCACCTTCCAGAGGTTAATAAAACGATTATGATAAAATGAATATAAGAAAATAATACTTTTAACGTCTCTTCGACCATAGCTGTTACTTCAATAGGCCATCAAGAAATTATTAAAATTTGTGCAATGGAACAAATGTGCATGATTCCAAGATTAGTTATCTAGAAAGCAGAAGTGACACTGGACGAGTCGTAACGAAGGACTGATCAACGAAACGAGTCATGAGGTAACAAAATTTTTGGCTTAAAAATTTCTTCTAAAATCAGTGATCAACCTCTCGTTACTACCAACGCATCTCAACAGAAGCCTGCTTTGACGAGAACTAATCTACAATCTGTAAAACGACCAATAAATTCAGAATAACCAGTATCATCTACTCACAAAATTCAGAGTATTCATACACGATTAAGTCTAAAAACATGAATTTGTTTCACTAACGATAAAACCAATTTCGTATTTCATACATTAATACCACTGTCTTCGAGAGCGAGATTCTAAATATTTTATAATATTTCGTTATTTATATACTAGTAATACCATCGTATTAAAGTAGGCGTATCTAGGTCGGCAAGGGTTTACTGTTTGTCTTTGTGGGATAGCGCGTGGGGGAGGATATGCTCGGCGGGCAGGAGGGCCGAGGGCTGGTGAGCGTAGTTCCTGATCTGGTGGAGGGAGATCAGCTGGTTGGGGAAGGAGTTGGGCTGCTGCTTGCCCTGCTGGAAGTGGAGGGGATCGTACAGGTAGGGCCGGGTCGGCAGCGCGCTGTGGTGCGACAGGCCGTTCAGGTGCGGGGCCATGGAGTTGATGGGGGTGAAGGCCGAGTTGGCGGCCGACGAGACCGGCGTGCTGTGGATGCGGTCGTCCTGGCTCTCGTGCTGCGAGAACAACGCTCGCTGCTGCTGCAGCTGCTGCTCGTGGTGGTCATCGCTTTCGCGCTGCTGGTGGTAGCCGCCGTCGTCAGACATGTGAGCTGCCGAATCCGGGCTCACTTTCGGCCAGTAAGGATGCTCAGCGAACGGCGCCGCTGTGGGCGCGGCAGCTGCTAACGAGCGGTTCAACCCGCTCAGTCCCAGCGCTGAAATCGGCGGCCGCTTGTCAGCCCTCTCCGCGTGCTTATTCATGTGCTTGCTCAGATACGTCTCCTGCGTGTAACTCTTGCCGCAGTACTGGCAGATGTGCGTCTTCAAATGCTTCGACTCCTTGTGTTTCGGGATGTGTTCCAGCAGATCCTTCTCGTGCGTGAAGCATTTGTAGCAAGAGTTGCACTTGAATGGCTTGTCAGTTTGGTGACAGCGGCTGTGGCTTTGGAGGTTGGAGAGTTGGGAGAAGGCCTTTGTGCATCCGATCTGAGTGCACCTGTACGGCTTGTCTCCGGTGTGGGTGCGGATATGCTGTTGGAGATGCGACAGTTGGGTGAACTTGCGCTGGCAGATCTCACAACGGTAGGGCTTGATGCCGAGGTGGATGCGGGAGTGCTGCGCCAGGTACGAGGAGTTGGCGAAGGCCTTCGGGCACTGGGTGCAGCGGTAGGGCTTCGCCTCCCGAAGGTGGATCTGTGTATGCAGCTGCAGATCCGCTTTTGAACCGAACACCTGGAATGAAAAGAAAAGATTATGTTAATATTAAACATTTTCTAAATAAAATTGATAAACATCTTTGATTTGGAATTTTGTTTATAGCGATGACACTTAAAAATCGCGACTGGGTGGTTATTAAATGTCAACTGGTGATAATAAATTTTATAAGATCAATTTCAACGAAACATGGCTTTTATGAATAAGCTATAGGTATGTTTATGTAAAAACCTTAAGTATAGCGTCAATAAAATAGCTTTTTGAATCTTGTGTCTTATAGAAGAACATTGCATTATTACAAATATCAACACATTTTCTCCAAAACACTTATCCATTTAAGTCTCTGAAGATCTAAAAGTACAAATAATTTGTTTTTTAATAGGTAGTTACAAAGTTGGATACTTGTGTATTCAAGACTCTCACTGGGGGATTTTATGCAGGGCCTACTGGCATTTAATGACGAAAATTATCTTCCTACCCTACAGGTAATACCTACAGTACTATCTACTGCCTCGAAGCCTACCTTAAAATTAAAGTAGCCTTATCCAATGACTACAATTATCCTAAATGGTCCCAATGGCCACCGAAAGTGAGCAGCAGCCTTGGACGACATCCGCAGCAGCCGGAACCAATTATCCGAGCAAAGCAGAGGTTTTTTATTTACTTAGAAGATGTGATAAAGGCAGGATGCTACCGTCACGGGGTTTTCACGCGATATGACTCCGCTTCCTAGTATAGACAGCACGTCAGAAGTAACATCTTTGTTGCAGAATCATCCTAATTACTAATGAATTAAGATGCCACAGAGTATAGCTTGAAGTGCAGTACCGTACAACTCATTTTCACTCTAAGCCTGCGCCTAGACCATCGATTTTTCATCGGCCGATAGTTTAGTCGGGCAGTTAATCAGTATGGGCATGTATGGAAGTGCGCACATTACACCGATTTGATTTGGCCGATTCTTCATACAATTTAATTATAAAATCGGGCACAACTATCGGCCAGCTAAAAATCGATGGTCTGCGCCTAGTCTAAGGTTTGTCTATATTTTTTTTAAGTTCATTCAGTTGTTCGTAATTCGATATTCAAATTCGATGTTGTTTTGTTTCGAATGTGAATTTGCTTTATTTTTTTTTATAAATGGTGCTGACAGATTACATTGTTAGATAGTTAATACGTTTTTGGTTATCTATAATCACAAGAGGAAAATATTTTATCTTGTAATCAACCAAGTTTGCAATCAATGTAGTCGGTATGAATGAAGAATTAACTATATTATTTAAAAGCTTCCAAACATAACTTTTAAAACAATAAATCTCTTCAATGAGTATTGCATCACTCAATATAAATTCCTACGAACAAGAAATAGCTAGCCATTAAAAATAGAATTTCTATCAAACCGATCTTAGTTTAAATGTATTCAAAAGTCATTCTAGCTTCAACCTATCTAATAAATCTACACGTGCCAACATAGTAGCTATTAAACAACGCCGACTCTTCGCACATTCAAAAGGTACTTTCCGAGCACCATTGATAGCTATTGTGATGTTTCAAATTAGTTTCCAAGCAAAACCGCGCGTCATCCCAACTACAGACTTTATTCACAACAATCGGCGTACGAAACACGTTCCTACGGGCACCGATGCTAGAACACGACTCAATTTCTGATCGACAAACGAAAATAATCAACCCGATTTCAATCTTGATGCATAAGCAAATAAAGCTGAGATTCCATCATTAGAGGCTGATGATGACGATCGGATACTGCTTGATGCTGTACAAAATCCGTATAACGATGTTGAAACTAACGAGGAATTTAAACCTAAAGATGATGGAGTTAAAGATGATAATGTAGATGGAGTGGCGGTTGAGTGTACAGATTCAATGCAGGACACGGTAGCACGTTGGATGACTTGTAAGAAACCGAGACACGAACGCAATTGGTCACAGACTGAAGATAATTAAAGTTTGGGCTCTGGTTAATGGTATGAGGTTGAAATTCGAGGTGGTGGCTGACTTTTAATAGGACCTCGTGAAGGATCGATTCGGCTAGGAATCTCTGTTAAATTGGAGCGTGGAGCGCCTTCCGCTTTAATAGAAATAACTAAGCGTGCTTCTTTTTGGTAAGTTAAAGACTGTCAGTACGGCAGCATTGTCCCTCGCATTTAGGAAGTACCAATCTTAGAAATTTGAAAATATTAGATATTAAATACTAACGCCCGTATTTAAAAACATTACTATGAGGTCTCACAGTGCGCGTGGACTCTCAGGGTGACACACGACGAACCAATCACAGAGCTCTATTCAACGCTGTGCGTTAGATTTCATGCTTTGAAGCATCGTTTGTGAATACGGGCGTAAAAGAGTAAGGCAACCAGATTGTGCCTACTTAGGTTCTAATTTATTATTTTGATAAAAAACTGAGTTTAAAATTTGTTTAATACCGATATAAATCTAATGCCAGCCACCGAAACAACTCGGCCGACTTAATTGTAACATTACTAACGATGTTAAAAAGACATCAAATAAATTAAAACGAGCAGTGATTAGCAACGAGAGATGGAGCAAAAAACGAATCCAGACATAACGTTATAAAAAACAGACAAAACAAATTAAACAATTTAATACAAAATGTTTAATGAAGATTTATTAATGTAAGTACGGTTAATTGTAAAAAAGGTACAAGTTTCAACCATGAATGACAAACTAATGTCTAAGGTTACCTTTTGTAAAATTGTTTACAGATTGTTGAATGTGGTAATACGTTTTTTAAGACATGAAACTTATGCAAATGATGGAAACCTCCACATTTTTAGTATTAACTTATGTAATTATTGTGAAGCTAAAGAATTTGGTTTCTCTAAAACTGTTTTGCATCTACTGCTATAATTATTCCTATGTTTTCAGAAGTCCCTAAATATTTCAAAAAAACGAAAAAATATTTTTTTTTCTTGACATAATCAAGAAAATAATAAGTACGAGTTGGGTTTTTTTTACTTGTTATCACGATTTCCTAAAAATTCCGAGTGCGTCATCTTAATCTGTCAATTTGACTTACCCTCGTGTAAACAAGGCCTCCGGCGTGGATGACGAGAGCCAATTTTGACAGGAGGCTGAAGGATTAGCGTCATTATGACGAACAAGGGTCATTCAGCTGACCCTTGCCCAAAAATACCTTGGGGTCATACGAGTGTTAGATTTCTTAGAGATTTAACGTTTTAAATTAAATAAACAGTTTATTTGTGACATGACAAGGATTTTAGAGAGAACAATTAAAAAGTTTCAAACTAATAGACAAGTTTTCAGACAGAGTTTTAAGTTACATTGACGTTAAAGTCTGTGAAAAATATTTTATGTACTGGACAATATTGATTGGATAGTTGACACTACCTTACTTTTTATAAATTTTCAAAACACTGTCTCTAAAATTTTTTTATAGAAATAAGACTCTATGACGTCTTTGGTACAACAACTTAATTATAATAGCATTTAGTTTAGTTACTAAAATATATCCAAATATTTAAAGAAACCTTGGCATTAATTGTAAATGGTGACAAAACGAAAAAAAATACTGACGTGTAAAGTTAAAAAGGTTAAAAAGTCACCATTCAAACACAATGGCATGCAATTTATCAAGTAAAACTAATTTTCATACGTTTACGGCAAAAACACGAAACGCCAAGGGGTCGGCTAATTTCCTTAAATGCATAACGTGAAAATTTGTGACGAGCAAAAAGGCGGGACGACAAAAACTGACCGTGGTTTTTGCCCTTAAATTATTATTAATAGGGGGCATACATTTCGCGTATTTATCTAAGGATATCAGGGTTTGTCCTGGGGCAGGATTTTCTCTAATAAGACATAGTTTTTGCGGCATGATTAATCAGGGTAAACAGGGGCTTGGCGCCATTTTAAAAATTCGTCGCTGTGTCGTGATTCATGGCGGTTGAGGTTTAGGGGGAGATTTTGTTTTGATGTTAAATTTTGAGACATTTTACACTTAGTTACGAGTACCTACTTGGTTTTGTGTGAAGTACTATTTTAGTATTAAATTACAATATAAAATTTAGTAAAAAAAATATGTAAGTAAGACTTTTTTATGTAGTTGTTTAACCTAAAAGTTGCTACCCTTAGTTGTCCCTTAGTACCTGCACTTAGTTATGGTTTAACTAATGAATTTACCTGGTTTTGTGTTGCATGGTTAAAATAAAAGAAAACATGGCTTATGTTAAAACATGCAAAACCTTCATATTATTTTGACACGTGAGTGACTGAAAAGGTTTTACGTCAGATTTTAAAGCTCCTAAATACTTTACTTACTTTTTAGTAAAACAAAACATTTTAAGATTTCAATACTATAAATTAACTTTAAACAATTTAATGTATACTTAACAATCAATGGATTTCAGATTATTGTTAGTTAACGATGGTACATTTTTCATGCTAGCAAATAATAAATAAATAAACATTCATGTATTTTTAATTTAATGAGTAAACGTACATTTTGTATCATTAATGAGTTATGGAATAACAAATGACGCACATTGTACTTGCTTTAACGTTTTAAATTAAAATGTATGACGGATTATTTCTCGTTCGATGATTTTAACGTTTAATTCTTTAAGATTATTACTGAGGTAGGCAATAAAAATGAATAAGTTTGGGTTGCACAATCTTACTTTAACTTTAGCAAACGTCAAACGTCTGTTAAACTCCATATAAAAAACACCGGTTATGATAGTTACGGTTAAAGTAAGGAGGTGCAACTCAGCCCAAAAGAACAACTCGTAAAGTTTTCTTTTTTTAAATCAAATATTTTACTCAACTTTTTTTTCAAGTGTCAAAAGGTGTAAAAATTGTTAAGAAATTGTTTTTTTTTAATCAAAAATTTTACTCCAGCGTTTCTCCACCTTTTCTTTTTTCAAGTGTATAAATAGCCGGGAACTATTTTTTTTATTATTTTTGTCATCTTTTTTTGGTTTTGTGGTTTTACCAAAAAGTTTGAATACCTCAAAATC